CATAGCAAAGGGGATTTTGAAGATTTGAATGAATTGAGACCTTGGAGATGGGGAGGTTATTCCGGATCATCTGAATAAGACTTATATAATCACAAAAGTTCTTATAGGTGGTAGGCAGAATGGTCAGAGTCAGAAAAGGAGATGTGCCGAGAGAAGTGGATTGTAGTCTGAGATTTGAAGATGCCACACTGCTGACTTTGAATGGGGAACAGGAACTGTGTACCAAGAAATGCTGGAAACCTCTAGAAGCTAGAAAGGGTAGAAAACAGATTCTCTCCTGGAACTTTCTGAAGAAGTGCAGCCTGACTGATATAACAATGTTAACCTCTCCAGGTCTTTTGACCTCTGGAACTGTAGAGAAATAAATCGTTGTTGTTTTAAGTCACTGCCTTTGTGGTAATTTATTCAAGCGATGATAGGAATCTTCAATGGTTTTGAAAGATTGCCTGGTAGGAGTAATGAGGATGTACTAAAACCTGTTGAAGAAACAGCAGAATCACCTTGGTGAGGAATCCCTACACAGTTAAAGAAGGGAACAACTTCTTCTTTTCTCTATTGTTGGGGGTGAGTGGGGGGAATTAGAGCAGAGATCCTTGTGAATGTTCTAGATAACATTTTAATAATAGCATACTGCCTAATCAGAGAACTGGACTAGTACTCCCCTCTACCCTTGGTTGAAAAAAATTAATTTTACAGAGCAAGATGCTATAGGGCTGCGTCTTAGGTCTTGGGGAGGCTGAGTCCAGGAGGTTGGGGCCAGCCTGGGCAACATTCAAGACCCTGAATCTTAAAACAAACAAAAAAAAAGTGGTGAGGGGAGTAGTTTCTCATTAATGAGCCTGTTAGTTGGCCATTAAGTGAGAATTGACCAGATTTCTCATTTACTGAAATGCTGCTATTGGTTTCAAAGGTTTGGTTTATGGGGAGGATGCTGACAGATACCTGAGTATTTCAACATGGCCATATAGTTGGGGTCACATTGATAGTAAAATATCAGACAGTTTCTGTCACAGAGGTTCCTGACTTGTCCAACTCCAAGGTGAAAATTGTTTTGTATTTCTTTCCCAGAGCTGTTGGGGCAAATTATCACAAATCTTACAACACCAGAAATGTATTTTCTCACAGTTCTGGTAACCAGAAGTCTGACAAGGTACCGGCAGGGTGAGGCTGCCTTTGGAGGCCCTGAGGGAGAATTTGTTTCTTGCATCTTGTGTTTTGGTGACTGCAGGCATTTTTTGGCTTGCACCTACATCAATTTCTGCCTTTTGTTCCTTAGTTTGTTTACATCACCTCCTTTGTGTGAGTGTGACTCAGAAATCCTCTCTGCCTTACTCTCATAGGGATACTTTCAATGACATTGAGGGCCCATCTGATAATGCAGGATAATCTCCTCCTTTTAAGAGTGTTCATTCTTTTACTACATAAGATAATATTCACAGTGGCCTTTTTTTTTTTTTTTTTTTTTTTGGTTTACTCTCTACTTTCTCACTCTTGTAGTCTTTCACCTATTTATCTGGATTTTTTTTTTGTGGGGGGAGGGGAGGAGATTATTGTCCTATATTCTGACCCATTTTAAAAAAATGTGTGATGTAACAATTAGTCTTAGTACCATTGTAATTTTTCATTTTCAAAGTGCTGACCTTTGGGCCAAATCTATTCTACTGCCTACTTTTTTTTTTTTTTTTAAATAGTATATTAGCAAAGAACAGTATTACACTTTTAATGGGTGGAAAAAACTGGTGATACATGAAAATTATGTGAATTCAATTTTCAGTGTTTAAAAATAGAATGTTATTGGAATATAACCCATTTTATTCATTTATGTATTGTCTCAGCTTGCATACCATACTATTTGCATACAGTGGCAAAATGGAATAGTTATGGCAGGGACCATATGATCTGCAAAGCCAAATACTGAATCTCTGGCCATTTGAAGAGAAACTGCTGACTCCTGTTGTAGTTGGGATGTTTGGTCTCTGGCGTTTAGAACACAATTGGTATATGCTATTTGTTGATGAATAATTGGCTTTTAATTTAGCATTTAAGAATATTTAACCTTTAATATTTTTAATGTTTAAAAATTTCACTTACATAGTAGGGATTTTGTATGGTTTCCCAAAGGATTCTATGGCATTAGAACATTTTTTTGATATCACATTATTTATATTTCTGATTTATTTATTTTTTTGTCTCTAAGACTAAGATGAAAAATAAAGTGGTGGTCTATGAAATAAAGAGTTAGTAGTTCATGAATTTAATAGAAATTTTAAATAAAGCATCCAGGACTCTATTGTCCAGAGGGATGGTTAATTGTTTTTTTTTTTTTAATTTTTTTTTTTTGTTGTTGTAGATGAACAATATCTTTATTTATTTATCTTTATGTGGTGCTGAGGATCGAACCCAGTGCCTCACATATTCGAGGCAAGCACTCTACCTTGATCTATAGCCCCAGCCAAGGGATGGATAATTTTATGTGTCAGATTGTAGATAGGCTCTGGTGCCTACTTGTTTGTTCAAAGCCTACTCTGGAGATTGCTCTGAAGGCATTTTGTAGGTACTACTGACATTTGCAATCAGTGTTGGTAGGCCTCATCAATTGGTGGGAAACCTTAAAAGCAACCTCTGAGGTTTCCTGAGGAAGAAGAAATTCTGAGTTTCCACCCTGCTGGCCTGCCCTACAAATTGCTGACTTGCCAGTCCTGACAATCGTATGAGCCAGTTCTTTAAAATTTCTCTACCTCTATCTCTCCTTTTCTCATTTTCTCTTGACAATTAGATATAAACATAGATATCTCCTCCTGCTTCTATTTTTCTGGAAATCTATAACTGCCAAGCTACTCTAATATGTGCAAGTGTGGGCCATCTCCCTTGTTTGGTACCAAGAAGCTAAGCATAGCCCTGTCACCTCCTGAAGGCGAGGCCCGTCCCAGCATCTCCAGCCCTTCTTCCTTCACACCTCCTTCAGGCTTCTGCCTTTTACACCTCGTGAAAGGAAACATGATATATTTGGAAATCACAAAGTCAGAAATAAGCTCACTTGTGAAAGGGCGGAGGACTTTTTCTCCATCCCAAATTGTTTAAAGTTGTGAGAAGACGAGTGAGGATGATAAAAATGAAACAGAAGCAAATGGGCCTGCTGATAAGGAGCAGTTGAGGAAGGCACTAGACAAATTTCTGGAGTGCCAAAGTTTGTGAGAGCTTTTTGACTCCCCTGTTTCTCTAAAAATGAATGCTTTATGTGTGTGCCTGCTGCAGTGGAGACCACCAAGTCTGTAGCTCCGAAGCTTGATTTTATCATGTTAAAGATGCTTTCTTTTATTCTCAAGCTGTTCCTATATGGCAAAAATACAAAATTACAATTTTGGATTAAAATACAGATAAATGTACAGTATTTAGCACTTTTGCTAAATAGACCAGTAATTGTATAATTTGTCTAATAAACCAGTATTTTACATATGAAAGATTCTGCATTTGAGCAGAAAAAGATCCATTGACTAAGTGGTAATTTTTATATTTCTAAACAGACTCTACCAGGCCTTTAAGTAGTGCTACAAAATATATTTTTTAATATTTTGATTCCTCCAAACTCGGTATTAACTCATCACCATTGCTCAGTACGTGGTTGATCACAAGTTCATGGAAGGTGCTTGTTCAGGTTTCCTGCTCTTCAACCCTTCTCCATCTCTTCACTGATACCTGATGAAGCCGATCTTCTATCAGTTAGTTAGCCTTTGTTATTTTAAAGAAATGACTGTAACTTTGAATTTTACAGGTTCAAATCAATTAGACATGGGCTCAACCTCTTTACCTGGTGATTCAAGTATAAAATAATTTCTTCTTGCTCAGAATGCTGTTTCATTCTAAGTAGCTAAAAATCTCTTACATGCTTTTCATCCTTTTGGAGATTTAAGCATTTTCTGCCTCTCTCTATGAATTCTTATGTACATCTAAAGCATTTCATTTCAGTGACAGTCCTAGGAGCAACTTTTGAGTGTTCCCCAGGGATCGGGGCCTTTGATGAGCTCTGGAAATACATGGAGGTAAACATGGGACTTTACTCTGAAGTGACCTTACTCCTGGAGAGAGGCTTGGAAACAATGTTGAGTGTAGTAATGGAAACAGTCTAACCAAACTCATGGAAAGTACATTGCCAGAGGAGGGAGAGAATCAGTCAGTCTTTTGGGAGCTGGGAAGGCGGAGAGGGATATAGTCCAGTTAGCAAGTTCTGTGTGAAGACATGATTACACTGCACTGAGGTATATTGATGTCTAGGAGTGTTATGTATGCCGTTACTTCATAAACTTAGGTAGCAGGTGTTTAGGTTTAAGTAAATCAGGTGACTTCTGAGGCTCCCTGTTACTATTATAGATTATTGTTAGTCTAAAGCATATTGAGAATTAATATAATTTATTTAAACAATATCCACTGAAATCCTTTGTATGTCTTCTAAGACAGTCATCCCTCCATATTCAACCAGCTGTGGATCAGGAATATTCAGAAAACAAATTGCATCTTGGGCAAACATTTTTCTTGTCATTATTCCTTTAACCCATACACTATAACAATTATTTATGTAGCATTTATATTGTATACAGATAAATGTACAGTATTTAGCACTTTTGCTAAATAGACCAGTAATTGTATAATTTGTCTAATAAACCAGTATTTTACATAGGAAAGATTCTGCATTTGAGATGATTCAAAGTATATCAGAGTGTGTTCAGAGGTTATATAAAATTACCACACCATTATATATGAAAATAGAGGATGCTTAGGTTTTGATATCTTTGGGGGTTCCTGGGACCAATCTCCTGTGGATACTGAGGGACCATTGTACTGAATATTAGCAATTATTTGAAAGATAATAAGATCTAATTAACCTTAAAAATGTTGATATTATGGAAATTGACATTTTCTCCCTTCTTTCTCTCTCCTCCCTGTGCCCCCCCTCCTTTTTTTTTTTTTTTTTTTTTTTTTTTTTTTTTTTTTTTTTTTTGCAGTTGGTTAGTCTGTTGCTTATTGGAATTGCTGCTTGGGGCATCGGCTTCGGGCTGATTTCCAGTCTCCGAGTGGTTGGTGTGGTCATTGCAGTGGGCATCTTCTTGTTTCTGATTGCACTAGTGGGGCTGATCGGAGCTGTGAAACACCATCAGGTGTTGCTATTTTTTGTATCCTTTTTTAAAATTGGGACTTGTACACCAGTTGGGTTGCGCTCTTATTATTGATTACTATTTTGATGACTATAGCTAATTTAATGTCATTATTAGAAAATTATTAATTGCCAGAAAGCAACTCCCAGGAAGCTTGGTGCACATTTGTTCTACCGATATTAGGAACATTTCTGAGGGTTTAAGTTATTGTATGTTTACATGTCCCCACTCACTCCTTGTCGCTTTGGACCGTATTCTGCAAGTTCATTATAATCTTTTTTTTTTTTTTTTATTGGTTGTTCAAAACCTTACAAAGCTCTTGACATATCATATTTTAAACATTAGTTTCAAGTGAGTTATGAACTCCCATTTTTACCCCAGTTCATTATAATCTTACTTATGTATTGCTAATTTAGTTAAATTGAAGTGATTCGGTGAACCTCTAGGTTTTTTCCAATATAATAATGTTTGAGAATTTAACAGTGTATGTTTTAGACAAAAATTAAGAAAGCTTATATGTGTTTGTCTATATTTGTTTTCTGTTTCATGTATGTAAAACTTTTTGTTTAATTTGGATAAAATTCTGATAGAAGTGTTTTTATTTATATAATTATCAATTTTATTTTTCTGTATACATATCCTTCTCGAACTTTCTCAAAGCACCATTTGTTTTATTTTTTGGGTGAACTACTGCCAGTGCATTTTAAAGTGTGCCAGTACCCACTGATTAATGCTATTTTAAGAGTATTCAGAAATGTCCTTAACATTTAACTTTCAGTATATGATTATTCTCCTTCTTGTATTTATTGTTCAGTTTTCTGTCTCTTGTGCTTGTTTAGCCCTGAACCAGGAGCAACAGGTAAGCAAATACTTTTTCCTGCTACTTTATTATACTACTTAGTCTGAGTATGAAAAAGGGGGAAGAAATGGTTGGAGTGTAAAGCATTTCTTCTTGCCCAGAATGCTATTTCACTCTGGAGAGCTGTGCTCTCCTGTTCCTGATTGTGTGAGTGGGACTGATTAGAGTTGACGATACCAGGAGGTGTGCTGCATTTTGTATCCTTAGATCTCACTGGGTAAAATTTAGCACTGTTAAAGCATGTTTATCTAGCCTTTACCCACCACTTTGTAGTGAAACATTTGCTCCAAAATATTTGTGGTTCAATTCTAGCAACTACTCTTTTCAAGCTCTAATTTGTAGAGAAATATGGGTTTCTGTCTTGGAACAACAGAAACTCTATCGCATTACATTCAGAATTATGCCTTTGAAGCAAGTGCTTCTTTTAACTTGCATGTGAAAATTAAGACTTCTTCATTCATAGAAATAGCGCTTTAGTTTTTGAAAAGTTTTTATGATCTTGTAGGGTATTTTATGTACACTCAATACTAAAAGCTGTGGGCTCTAGCTTTACACATTGATGTAGAGATGACACATTTTAATGCATATTAAATACATTTCCTAGAGTCAGCTTCTGGAGGTTGGTTGGAACAATACAGCAAGTGCTCGAAATGACATCCAGAGAAATTTAAACTGCTGTGGGTTCCGAAGTTTTAACCCAAATGACACCTGTCTGGCTGTAAGTCCAAAGTTTACAGTATATATAAAGTGTGTGTGTGTGTGTGTGTGTGTGTGTGTATGTATAAATTCATTATATACAAATGAATAATAATTGTCATAAAAAATAGACTTTCTGATTATTGAGGCAAGCCCCAAATGATTATAGTTAGGCTTCCTTACTGAAGCTTCTGGCAGATTGGTGTTTTTAGTGTGTACCCAGGGCTGGGAACCAGCTATGTTATGGTCACGGAGGTACCTGTCAGTTCTACTACCAGACAACCCTGGTGAATCCAGTCTATGTCCCTGGACAGTTGGACATGGCTGGGAAAGACTTTTATTGCCACCTCAATATGAGATGAAACTGACAGTGGCTTTTAATAATCATAAGTGATGGAGCTTGTCTAGTCTAGGCCACAAACACTCTGAATCAGCGTATATATTCAAGGTCATAGACATTTTGCTTGTGAGCATGCTTCCACTTATGTAACCTGTTGGCAGTGTGCCTTCTTTGTTTGGCCTGCATATAAAAGGGGCCTATGAAAAAACTGAGGGGCTAACTGGAACTGACTGGGGAAAAATGGAACTAGCTCTAGGCTGGAGGATGTTGCCACCTCTGAATAAAGCATGTCTACTGTCCTAATTGAGTTTTATATCTTCTACCTGCTGAGCCCCGAACCTTACTTCCTGGGTCTGAGCCCCTCTCACAACACTGGTGCTGAATTGTATTTCAAAATTGCTTTACATATAACTATCGTATTTCATATACATTTTGTAGCATTTGCCTGTTCTCAAAATCCTGAGAATGCTGAATATTCCAGGGCCCAGTCAGATAAACAAGCTTTGGTTTATCACTCCTAATTCTTTCTCATTTGACTGTTCCTTCAACATGTTGTAAAAGAGCACTGTATGATCAGTCTTAGACATTTAGAGGAGGTATATAAATAATATGGTTTTTGAAGCATATCAGGACAGGAGAAGAAGAATGGTCTATATTAAAGTGGGATTTTTAGCCGGCTATACACTTCCAAGGTGAGGAAATACAGAACTACCCTCTTTTCTCTCTTCCTTCTGTTAAGCAGTAGTATTATAGAATGCAGCCTAAATGTGGGGGTGTCTCCCCCATCTTGTTCTCAAGTCCCAGTCACAGGGGGAAGCAAATACAGGGCATGTACATGACGAGACTAACTTTAAAAAAAATTTGCATACCACTAAAACACCAATGCCCCAAATTGGATGTAACATGCCCAGACCCTAATTTAGTGTGTGTGTGCATTTTGTATATGCTCTTTATAAATGTAGTTTGAAATAACATGTCTTTTCTTTAATTGATGCAGAGCTGTCATCAAATCAGCCACAAGTGCTCGCTTTGTGCTCCAATAATAGGAGAATATGCTGGAGAAGTTTTGAGATTTGTGGGTGGCATTGGCCTCTTTTTCAGTTTTACAGAGGTATGTGCAAAATCCGCAGTATTTTCTCCCTCTTGTCATAGGGAGTCCTGTTTTGTATGGTAAGAGAATATGGTATTGCACCTTACTGTGGGTCAACTGATTTTTACAATGTAACAAAGGTCCCCTGGCTTGGAATCAGAATATCCCATCAATCTAGCCTTAACTTTATGACAGTATAAAATATCTGATATGTTTTCCATTATGTAAAATTTAATGGGCAAATAAGATAAGTCTGAATAGACTGAATTATCTCTAGGGTCTCTTCTTTTTCAGATTTGCATGATAAATTTCAATTTTAAATTAATTTTGGAATAGGTTGCATATTTATATAATTTAATATATATTTATTATGTGTGTCTAAATATATATATATGTAAAAATATATATATAAAGGTATGCTTTGAAAAATTGCCTTGCAACTTTACCCTCCATTCTCCTATGTTCCTGGCTTTCCAAAACTTATAGTTGCCTCTGTTATTAATTCCTCATGAATATAAGTTTGTACTATATTAATATATCCATACTAACTATAAATTTTATATAGTATAAATGTCTATAAGAAAAACCACAGAAATATTATTTGATAATTTTTAAATAATATTATTTCCTTAGTGTCTCTCTTAAGAAAATTTATTTATAATTCTTCTTTTTTTTATGGTGATAGAGAGAAGTTTCATACTTTATCATGTAACCGGATACTGAATCATCACCAGCTCTTTTTTATTTTTTAAAGCATTTTCTTTTCTTTTTTTAAAATATTTTTTTAGAAGTTGATGGACCTTTATTTTATTCATTTGTTTATATTTGGTGCTGAGAATTGAACCTAGTACCTCACACATGCTAGGCAAGTGCTCTACCACTGAGTCACAACTTCAGCTCCCTTTTTTATTTTTAAATTCAATTTAATTAATTTATATTTTTTGGGATAGGGTCTCATTATGCTGCTCAACCTAGCCTTGAACTCCTAGGTTCACGCAGTCCTCATGGCTTACCCCTCTAAGTAACTGGGACTATAGATGTATGCTCAGTGTCTTTTCTTTTTGAACTCTCAATATCTGTGCACAAGTTTTTCTTTCTTTCTTTTTTTTTTCCTTTGGTGGCATGCTCGGCAAGTGCTCTTCCCACTGAATTATCTCACTAGCCCTGTGCATACTTTTTGATGCTTCTGAATTGACATAAAGATTAATTTTTAAAAAAATTTTAACTCATTAATTTCACTTCTAGTATTTTATGGGGATAATTACATGAAACGGATATATAGGATATTTATTTGTAGCAGCAAACCTTTGGGTTAGCTTTGTTTCTCACGGATGGGCTGGTTACATTAAGGTCTATCACCCTGGAGCATATGGTTAAGGAGTGAACTTAGGAGCTGCATTATTTGGGTTGGAAACCCTAGAGCAGCTGCTTATTAGTTGTGTGGCCTTGGGTAAGTTTCTTAAGCATTTTGTGCTTTTGTCCCCTCACTTTTTAAAATGGGGATGTGTGTGTGTGTGTGTATGTACACACACACATACGTACATACAATGGCCCATTATAAAAAGATGGTGGGACTCCTGTTATTGCTATTATGAGATTACTATGTCATACTCCTATTTTAAACAGAAAACAGAATTACATGTACCCAGTAATTCTTTTAAGTAAGGTTAAATATGTCACTATAGAACTATGGTAGACTGTTTGTAAGAGTGAACATGTATCTTTAAAGAATATCAGAAAAACCCTTAGTCTTTTGTATGGGTGGAATTTAATGAGTTTGCTTAATTTTTCCTTTAATATGTCACTATAATAAATAATGCCATGGTCATCTTATCTTGTACAAGATGTTTTTCTGTATCCTATCTTTTGCCCTGTGATTATATTTCTAGACATCAAATATAATCCAATATTGGGATTTTTAAAAGGTTTTTGGTGACTACTATATTGTTTTAATTGACTTTTGGTTCAAGCACTAACTAGGTATTTTTATTATAAAATTTTTTAACACTTTGATAATTTTTTTATAAAAGGTATTGCAATTCCATTTTTTTTCTTTTGAAAAAGTGGATACTGAATTTGCCCATATATCCGTATGGTTTTTTTTTTTTTTTTTGGCTGTATTTCTTTTGTGACTTGCTTATTTACTTTTTTGTCTAATTGAGGCTCTTTGAACTGCATGTAACAAACTCAAAATAGCATATGCAAAACAGGGGATTTTTTTCCTCAGAGTCTCAGAGGGGAACTTGGGGTGGAATGTTTGTGGTAAGCATAGTACAGGGTGGGCCTTAAACGGGGCTCCTCCTGCCTGCTCCCCACTCCATACCCCTCCTACCTCCCTTTCTCACTCTCTGCCTTCCACTAATTCCTCTCTAGCCTCCACTTTTTTTTTCTTGCATTGCTTTGCTTTGTTCTGCTTTCAGTTCCTTTGGCATTTACCTAACTTTTTGTTGTTTGTTTCTGTTTCTTCTTAGAGAAAATTTTACTTTTATTGTAGTTAAATCTATTGCCTTTTCCTATATGGTTTAGAACTTTGATTTTTATTCCTAGAAAGGCTTTTCTTGTTTTGATATTTTTTTGTGTGTATGTGGAAAATGTACAGATAATGTATGAATTTCATTTTTGTATATGTGGTGTATATATAACACACACATATATATAACATGTATGTTATATATATACACGAAATATATGGTTAATGTATTATATTGTGTTTTTTATAAATTCTATTTTAATTTAATTCCCCTCTAGAGTGAAAAATTCAAATTTTCCTATTATTAAAAAAGTAGATAAAAAAGAAAAGTTGAAGCTTAATATTGTATCTTTAAAACTAGAACTGTATAGCATCCTTTTGCTTCCTTGCTTTGTTCTCTGGCTGCCTTCTCTCTGTATTTCTGACTTTGTCCTTCTTGCTTCCCTCTTATGAAAACCCCTGCAATTGTATCATTGAGCTTACCAGATTATTCTCTCTAATTCAGTCACATCTATGAAGTCCCTGTTACCCTGGGAAGGAACATATTCCCAGGTTCTGAGGCTCCTGAAGTGCATGCCTTTGGGCAGCAATTGTGCGGCCTACCCCAATGTTCATACTTTAATTTGTTTTACGGCTTCTCATTTGGTTTACTTACTTCATTTGAAAAAAAAGAAATAGAAATTTCTTCTTTTGAACAAACAAAAAAGCAAAGTTATTCAGGTTTCAGAGTTATTTTATTGATAAGTAGATAGAACATATATATGCAAACATAACTTTTTTTTTTTTTTTTTTTAAATTCCAGATCCTGGGGGTTTGGCTGACTTACAGATACAGGAACCAGAAAGATCCTCGCGCTAACCCTAGTGCATTCCTTTGATGAGGAAACAAGGAAAATATTTCCTATTCTGATTGTATTCACTTTCTCTAATTTGAAGTAAAGCTAGTTTGCCCATTTAACAAAAGAAACAGTATCTGGAAAATTACATTATCAACAGTGGAATTATATATTTTTATTCTTATGTTTCTGTAGATGTTATTCTTTTTTCCATTGCTAAACAAAGACTGAAATCTGTGGTCTCCTCTGGCCCTCAGTGGTWCCTGTAATCTACTGTACTCAGTGTCTGGCACTGTCCACCGTGGCCTTTCCTAGCATTTTTACCTGCAGAAAACTTTGTATGGCACTACTGTGTTGATYATATTGTGAAACTAAATACACATCTCACTGGAATAATTGTGTGTAGCACTGTGCTGTGTAGATAGTTCCTACTGGAAAGAGTTAAAGCTTATTACAAAGCCAGAATGTAAGAGATTCTATTATGTTCAGTTCAATAAGGGAAATCTAAATCCCAAGATTTTTTGTCTTTTTAGGAAAGACGTGTTGTGGTGAAAAGTGTTGATATAAAAGTGATAATTTAGTTCTAGTAGTCTTTAATGATTACATCAGTGTATTCTAGATATAGCTATGTCTTTAGGCAATTGTGCTTTAGTTTTTGACTTTTATGTGTAAGTGCAAAGGAGAAGCGATCTCATGAAACGTTTAATGTAGAATGTTCACTTTCATCTTTCAAAAATGGAATGAGTTTGAATAATTCAGAACATATATGATCTTGATATTCTTTTTTAATAATTTGAAGTGCAAAATACTGAATTTTTAAACAAGTTACTATTGACTGCATTGGCCCATGTAGCAAAAAGATATTTGATTATCTTAAAAATTGTTAAATAACTTTTTCATGAAACTTCTCAGTATTGTAACAGCAACTTGTCAAATCAAAGCATATTTGAGTGTGATATTTCCCCTAATTTGAACTTGAAATGGTGTTGTAGTCCTGTATATTATGTTGCAAATTAAAAGATGGAAACCTTTCTTTGTGTATGCATGTTTAAATTAAAAGGAGGTAATGGAAAAATTGATAAAGAATTAAGTTTGGTAGAATTCTTTGTTTTAGGTTCCCTTTGGCATACTTAGAGCTGGATGTTGCTATTTTCATACACAATCAAGCCATGGGAATGAACTTTCAGCACGAGTGTCTGTTGGTAGTTGTCCTCAAATCTTTTCTTGAAATATTTCAATGGTTAATATTTTCTGCATGCCGAGAAAGATATTTTTCTTTCTTCCTTTTTTTTTTAAAGACCTTTATGTTTTTTAAGAGAAGTCATTTTTATTTATTTGGGAAAAATACATAAGTTCCTATCCCTTTTAACATCACACTTTCTTGGCTTGTATTCTGGATAGCATGTAATACTTTTTTAGTAATTGTCTTGATAGGTTTTAGACTAAGAAAGATGGTAAATGGTTGGTCTGTAGCATTTTGCAGCATTTTATAGGTATGCCATTCCCATGACTGTAGCATTACCTAATCTTCCAAGAAAACAGAACTGTGCTATTTCTATAATGTTATCTTAAGCTGTGGGCACCCCCTCATATGAGTCCACATATACTGTAGGATGATATCCTAAGTGACACATGAAAGGAGGTTTTTTAGTTTTGTCTTCCTTTAAGGTGTTCTGTATTTTCCTATTTGTCTTGTTTCTTTTCAAAATTCTATAAAGTTCTGGAATTTTCTAATATAATGCTTCTCTTGGTACACATGATTATATGTGGAAAAGTCTATTGCAGAAAGAACCAGCTCAGACTATGGTTTGTGCTCTGATTGCAAGTGCTTTGTTTGGATCAACACACTTAAAAATTAGGGTCTAGATAGGATAATCCACCTCCCCTCCCGTACTGAACCCAGGGACTCCTTACTACTGAGCTATATCCCCAGTCCTTTTTATTTTTTAATTGAGACATGGTCTAAGTACCTTAGGCTGGCCTTGAATTTGTGATTCTTTTGAGTTGCTGGGATTATAGGTGTGAACTTCCTTGTCTTGCTAGGATGAATCTTTGGAACTTGAAACTATAGGATTATAAGAGTGGGTAATAAATAACTGATGATTAGTCGCTCAAGAAGTTTTCGTTTTCAAGCGCTGGGGCAGCCCTGTTAAATGAATCTGGCTTTCTCTTCTTTCAGGCAGATCTGAAGGTGATGGATTGATTACCACCTCTTTCATGTCTCTTGTGATCTGTTTGTGTCTGCTGTATCAACACGGCTCTCGTTCTACAGCGTCTCATAACATCCACTGGGAAAGACCTCTGAACATGTCCATTCAGAGTCCATTATGATCCTGCATGGCCCTGCATAGCTCCTCCGGAACCAGTGCAAAAGCAGTTTTAGGCTGATCCCAGGATTACAAGAGGGCCACTGCTGTTTGTATAAAAACACAACCTAAAACACAATGTCAGAGGAGGGCATATTTCAGGTCGGGGTCTGTTCTCGAATTGCAACAAATAGCTGTGATGTTCCAAACATCACATTTTTTTAAGAAGGAACTACTTAAAAAAATTTTCTCTAATTCCCTGTTTATATTTTCCATTTACAGGAATATTCCCTAGAACATTTACTCCAGTTAGTCTTGATGTTAAAGGTGAAATTTTAGCTAGAGAAAATAATACAAAAGAAGAAAGGTTTGGCTGTAATTTCTAAAGTTTGAGCTTATTGTGGATAAAATTTGTCTCAGTTACTCTGTTATCTGAGCACCAATGTGTTTGGTATGAGAACCAGTTCTGCATGTCCAACCTTAATAATATGCTGTTGACTGGAACCTTTCAAATACGGAAAGGAAACCAGAAGTGTGGCATTTAGTTCTTAGTTTCCTTGAGCCAAAACCTCCTCCTAGAATTCTTCTAAATATTTGTTTAACCCTGTTTGAGTTTGTACCTTCTTTTGAAAATGCACCAAATACACCAAACCTCTTGCTTTTTTAAGTGAAAAAGCACTGAAAAAGAATCACATCTAGTAATTTTTAGGAGAAAAGTATGCATTGTTATTGTACAAACATGATCACTTACATATGAATTTTGTTTTTAGAGGTAAGAGGAAAGTTAAAGGCTTAACTCTTGTAGATGTCTGGATAGTGAGGGGATTTGTGTGAAGTTGTATGTGTGAGACTAGTGATGATTTTTATATGGGGCTGTCCATGCTAACTGGCATTAGGATATGTGTTAGTGAATGTGTTCTAACAAAGTTTAAGGGAGCAAGCATCCTCTCACCTCAGAGAGAGTTGGGGTAGGGAGAAGATGGGGTTTGTCATGGTGGTGTTTTCCAAAACTGGGCAATTTCCATTGAAATATTTCTTGAGACTTGGGAAAAGGAAAAGTCAGATTCCTCTACCAAATGCCAGGCCATTTCTCATCATTCTCCTTAGGAAAATTAGTTTTTGGAATTCATTTCCAAGTGACGGTTTGTGAGAGTTAACTGTGAGTTAAAATATCTAAGAATGGACTTTGATATCTCTTGAAGGGTGAAACTGCTTTTGCTTGCTTTCGGTATCTCGCTTTTTACAAATAGGTGAGATCACAACTTGACAAGGGCCTTTTAATAAGTTCAGCTGACTTGATTTGGACTTTGAAGTCCTTGGATTTAAAAAACTTCTATTCCTGTCTTAGAGCTTTTTCTGTTCTCCCTGGTTCCCATTTCATCCGTGATCACTAAATAGGAAGATCCTAGATACTACATAGGATCACTAAATGCAATAAAATAGCAAAACAAAGTAGACATGGACAGTCACAGGTAACCATTCGAAGAATACTGCCGTTCTAACATAGGTTAAACCTGTTGATCATGATTTTATGGATGATTTATGGTACTAACATTTTTTAAAAAGTTAATTCCTCTTTTTTTCCCCCTAAAGTGTGTTTTGTTTTTGATACTGGGGATTGAACTCAGGGACACTTGACCACTGAGCCACATTCCCAGCCCTATTTTATATTTTTATTTAGAGACAGGATCTTACTGAGTTGTTTAGTGCCTTGCTATTTCTAAGGCTGACTTTGAACTCCCCATCCTCCTGCCTCAGCCTCCCAAACCTCTGGGGTTACAGGTGTGCACCACCATGCCTGGCTTCCCCTAAACTATGGGACTTCAGATGAACAGAAAAATGTTTTTACTGTGGCAAAAACATAGAGTGTAAATTTGTCATTTTAACTATTTTTAAGCGTACAATTAAGTAGTATCAAGTACTTTTATACTGATACACAACTATCACCTTCATCCATTTCACAAACATTTAATCTTCCCAAACCAAAACTCCACAACCATTAAACGGTAGCTCCTGACTCCTTTTCTTCCAGCCCCGACAACTACCTTTCCATTCTGTCTCTGAAGATCACTCTAGGTAGTTATGTAATTTTACAGTTTTTGTCCTTTTGTGATTTATTTTACTTAGCATAAGTAATATCTTCAAGGTTCATCCATGTTGTAACATATTCAAGGATTTCCTTTTTTAAGATTAAATAATATTCCTTTTTGTGTGTGTGTGTGTATGTGTGTGTGTGCATGTATATAGTTTTACATATGCTATACTTTGTTGATCCATTCATCCATTGATGGGCACTTGGGTTGCTTCCATCATTTAGCTATTATGAATAATGCTGCTCTGGGCATGGGTGTATAAATATCTGTACCCTGGTTTTAATTCTTTGGAGTATACACTCAAAAGTGCAATTGCTGGGTTATATGGTAATTCTGTGTTTGCTAGTTTGAGGAGCCGAGATATTGTTTTCCACAGTGGCTGCACCATTTTACATTTCCCACTGGTGTTAACATTTTTATGTAGCTGCTGGACATAATATTCTCCAGTCTCATGGTACTCTTCTGTTTCTTAGTAGTCAGATTAGTAGGCAGAGATAAATGGTTAAGATACACTCTCACTTGAAATTTATTTAAGCACAAATGAAAGATGGTGAAATGGCAGTGGATGAATCTGGTAGAAAGAACAGGCATTGCTACTGTTTTCATGAGTTTATGAAAACCATTTTAACGTTTGAATCTTCGACACTTTAATCTTATATGTACACATTTCCTGTGGTTGCAAGTGTACCTCAGAAATTTTTTTTTTTCTGGTGGGGGGGGCGGTTTTGTTAAATTGCTCAGGCTGGCTTCAAACTTGTGATCCTCCTGCCTCCTGAGTCGCTGGGATTACAGGTATACATCACTATACACAGCTCAATTCTGATTTTTTATAAAGCACAATACAGGATTAAAAGTTGGTAAAGCTGTTTGCCTACTTGATGCCTCACCTTCTCACCTCTTTTTCCAAACATCACTGACCTCTGATCTCTGCCTCATCAATGTGCTATCACTGCCCTTTGCCCTTCTCACAGACCATCACGTGTTGGCAAAGAAGAGGATTCAGACTGAATTTATTCTAGGCCAGTGCGCTAGACCTTGAGAGAGTAAGGCCCATTCCCAGGATTTCTTTAGGATGTGCTTAGGGGTACAGATGTTTGTTGAATGACCTTTCCACTGACTTACTAGCCAGATACTTCCTGAGACCATTTGGTGAATAAAATTGAATTCCTAAAATGTATCCCTGGGAGTTAGTGCCCAGGTGGGGAGGGTTGTCTCTAAGCAGGAAGCTGGCTTTCTTGGGGTGCTCTATGTGGTTTTTCACAGTGAAATGTTTGCTCTTTGATGTTTCTGTTGATTATCACGCTTGTTTTTAGTCAGTGAGAACCTGGGGTGTGGCAGAATGTCAACTTTGTCTTTGGTTTTCATTGTTTGAACTAGTTTTATCTTATTCCCTCCTTGATATTTTTGTTTGTTTGTTTGTATGTGTGTGTAATAGGTTTATTGGTGAATGAACCAGGTAGCCTTTTCTGTGAAAGGCCAAGTTGGTGCCAGAAAAAAAAAAAAAAAGGTAAATTCAGTTTGGCTACCCCCGTAAGGATTTATTTTTTAGAAAATCATGGCTCATTATGGTAGATAATGATATTGTTTTTATACATGTATACTTGAAACCATTAAAAAAAATAGAGGCTGTAACATTAAACCATAATTTAATCTGCATGTCCATCTGGGCTTCTGCATTCTCTGGTCTTTTGAAGTCCCTGGTTCCAAGTCTCAAGGCTCGAAACAAAGCAAAGAGCTTGAAGACTTTGCTTTTTTCTCTACAATTCAGTCTTCAGCAACTTGAGAGCTTTCTTCATGTTGTCAAGCACTGGTGGGACAAAAGGTTAGGATAATCAAGTATCATCACAGATTATATCAGGTTTTAAATAATAAATATAATCAATTTCCAGACACAGTACTCTATTCATTGCTTAACAGGGTGCCTTTAAATCATGGAATGAATTGCTGGTAATATATGGTAATTTTTTTTTCTAAAATTATGTGCCATGGCTTTTGTGACCACCCAGTTTTCTAGTGTGCTCATTCCTTCTCAGATCTTTTCTCCAACTCTTCTTACAAAAGAATCTCTTCATAAGCTCTGTTGGAAGCACATAATTTTGACTAATAGAAGTACATTTTAAACCCTGTTCATGGGAAATATCTGTTAGGTGTGTGAAGCTACTGTAAATAGTTTTAGAATTGGGTGGAATATAAATTACAAATAATAGTAAACCAAGTGTTTGACACAGATAAATTAATCCAAATGAACACCCTATTAGCATTGGGTATGGTGGTGCACACATGTAATTCCAATGACTCAGGAGGCTGAGGCAGGAGGATCCTGAGTTCAGAGTCAGCCTCAGCAAATTAGTTGAGTCCCTGAGCAACTCAGTGACACCCCATCTTTAGATAAAATACAAAAAGGATGAGATATGGTTCAGTGGTAAGAAACCCCTGAATTCAATCCCCAGTACTCTACTGTCACTTTGTTTTTAGATAATGAAACAGGCTTAGATGGGGCTAAGCATAGTTTGTGGAGGATCACAGAGCTATAACAAGTGCTGGAGCTATGCACCAGAACCCAAGCTTCTAACTTGTATCCCTTTAGCAGCAACTCATGAATATGAGATGTGGGATCTGGTGACAGGATATCCACATGAGAGACCTACACTGAGCAGCTGCTTATTCACACGCTCCACAAATATTTATTACATGTATGTTCTATAGGGCATTATAGGATACATGCTGCTAGCTCAAGGATAGTTAGGACTTGCAATGTGCTTCCCCTTGTCTTCATGGCTCCTACTAGAGACATTAATGAACCATGAGGAGTTGTTCCGTGGATAAGGCACAGACTTTCTGCCCCAGCAAAATATTCTAAGCCAGTGCTCTCCAGTAGAAAACCCCTTGCTGTGGACTGAGTATTTGGAATATGGATGGTATAACTGAAAAACTGAATTTTTAATTGTAATTAAAAATTTAAGAGCAAAAAAAAAATTACATAGCAACAAGTGGCTAATGGCTAATATATGGGTAGTGAGGTTCTAGGCAGTCACAATAATTGATCAGTACTGGTTCCAGGATAAAACCCAGTTTTCTTCCCAGTAGGAGTAAGCAGATGTCATAGCCAGGTATCTTCTCCCATTTAGGTACCTCATCTGCCTCAAGTGTGTGCCTGCCTCCACCTCCCCCACTCCCCTCTCTATTCCAATATGGCAACTGCTAAAAAAGTGAGTATCTTGGCAACTCCTTGGATCCTCTTGCCCATTGATCTTTAAATTGAGCCTGACTTCAGCTTCAACAAGCTGGACTACATTATTTCGGTTTGTGATTTGGGGAGAAAAACTATGCTAATTATTGCAACTCTTGCATCAATTCTGTGATGGAAGGGGTTGTGTATTAGTGTGCCTGAGAGATAACCTGAAGTCCAGATAATGTGGTCATGGAACTTTCCTAGAGAAAAAGATACCTATACTAAAGGGTTCTTCTTCACTTGAGATAAAAATAAAATAAATTGAATTGGAATGAGAGTGATTTACCTCTTAAGGTCAAACTGATTCTGTCTCTGCTGTACTTAGCAGAGCTCTCTCTCACCTCACCTGTGCCATCTCATCCCACCACTATAACCAACATAGTTGTGCTTCACCTGGACAACATCCAAGTTGGAAGTACCACTTACATAAAGCTGTGTCCGAAGGTTCATAAGCATAGAGACGATTTGAATATCTTCCGGTGATGTCAGCTCTGACTGTCAGGGATGGGTCTGCAGAGATAAAAGGAATGGGATTTTTGTTTTGTTTTTTACAAGTAGCTTTTATTTCACGATGAGCCTAAGTACTCATGTCCTGTTGAACAACGTGTGTTCTACTGCATCACGCTCCATCCCATCTACTCTGCTGCCCAGCCTTCGGCAGGTAGCAGCCAATGCAGGGCTGGGAGCATTGGACAGCTGTGCTGTGTTGTTTCTGGAAAAGGATATGAAACCTATTGTTCTGTCTAAAGTGACCTGAAAACAGGATTCTATATATTTGGGGGATGATGTTTTATTGGTGAGAACATTAGCATCCATTCCTACAGAATTATTGTAAACTTCTAGAATAATTGCGTTGTAGTTGACTTGTTTTACCAAGAGCAACCTGGATAATTAGAAACTCACATTTAATGCTGGTTTTCATTTTCTTTAACAAATGGAAGAATGCAAACCCTTAAGAACAGCAAGGTCAAATAAACACTAATTGTTCCCCACTATTTTTTACTTTGTTGTTAATTAGCTGCATTTTAAAGATAGAAATTTGAGGGGCTGGGACAGTGGCTCAGTAGTAGAGCGCTCATCTAGCATGTGTGAGGCACTGGTTCAATCCTCAGTATCACATAAAAATAAATAAAATAAAGGTATTGTGTCCATCTATAACTAAAATTTTTTTTAAAAGATAGAAATTTGAGTCTTTTGTGTCTATTTATATTTCTTAGATTTAAATCCCTTTTGTCATGTTTTATATGTAGCTTGAAGTTAAATGGTTAATGAGAAAAGATATCTTAAAAATAAGATGCACCCAAAAGGAGGATACAGAGAGGTCTGAGTGCCATTCTACCAATGAGAGAAACATGGTGCTTCTTTCTCAGATGTATTGTGGCAGAAAATGAAAAGTTAAAATTAGCTGATGAGGAAAGAAGTTGTCTGAGTAAATAGGTTGAAGCTCACACTAAAGAAAATATGCTGTGAAATGCCACATCCACAGGAATGCCTTGCTAGAGTTTAGCAGTGACCTTGACTCTGTTGAAGTGGCAGAGTAGTGTGGGGAGGAGAAAAAGGGATATGCAGCACTTACACAGTATATTGAGCGGGTTTTATCTTGTCATTGTCACTTACCCACAAACATAATCCTGGGGACGTACTGGCCATCAGGAGAAAGATGTTTGTCGGTTGTTTCATACTAAGATTTAAAAAAGAAATGCAGATTTTAGTTTGCTTACTCTTTGGTTATTTTCAAATTTTTTAACTCAAGATGTGTTTGTGCCTAGCCTGGTGGCACATGCCTGTAATCCCAGTGGCTTGGGAGGCTAAGACAGGAGGATGGCGAGTTCAAATCCAGCCTGAGCAAAATCGAGGTGCTAAGTAACTCAATAAGACCCTGTCTCTAAATAAAATACTAAATAGAGCTGGGAATGTGGCTCAGTGGTCGAGTGCCCCTGAGTTCAATCCTCAATACCAAAAAAAAAAAAAAAAAAAAAAAAAGATTGTATTTGTTACTAGGCTAAGAACAGAAGATATCTTCTCCAAAGAGTTTATGGATATAGGTAGGGAGATAAGTTATCTTGTGCATGAAATAATAATAACAGAATGTGATGCAGACCATGAGGTAAAGAATTGAATGGATGTGATATGGAAAGACCAAAGAAGTTCAAAAAGGAGTATCTGGAAGGAGTTGTGATGTTGTGGGGGAAGAAATCTTGGATGAGGTAGGAGGAGATGGATTAAAGAAAAAAAAAAAACAGAAGATATTTCTGGAGAAATTATAAAAACCAAAAGGATTTTCTTGAGCATTCATCTGTTGGTTTCTATTTAGAATGTTACTGATTTAGCAAGACACAGTGCTTATTTTTAATGAATGCATAGTCTTTTGTGAGATCCAGGTAGGAAAGTGCATGCTGAGGATCCAGTGAGTGAAATGTTATGATGGGGCATGCAGGTTTCTAGATGACTGGAGCAGGACATTGATCCCAATATGAAAGTTCCCTTGGACTTTATGAAGTGGGTAAGGAGGAATATTAAAGTGAACAGGGATTAATTATGTGGGGAAAAAAAGATCACTCCATGAAGTAGGTCGGTCGGTTAAGTGCAAAGGTATGAAAGGAAAACATGGCACTTTCTTGTATGACCAAGCGTTGTATGACCAATGCTTGGTCATAGTGAAGCATTATGGACTCCTGAGGGCAGTTAAGTTGCTTCTGGGGGCATTCTTCTGACTGGCCCTGCTCACCATGCCACAGAGTTTTCATTTGCTCAGAAACACGAGCTCCTGAAGGGATGCTTGAAGAGGCACCACAACCTGTTTGGTCCTTAGAGTGATTGCCCTCATAGCCCTGTGAGATCAGGTGGTTTTATCTTGTAGGCAGGAAGATGCTTAGTAACACTGCAGTAAGCTAGGTGAAGTGAAAGGTCATATACTGCAATGTATAACGATAGTAGGAACATTTAGAATGGACGAGCAGAGAGCTTCTTGACGACTACAGAAGAGGGAGTGTGATCCAGAAAAGCACTGCTTTCAGTGAAATAGGGAATAAAGACAAATGAGCTATTTGAAAAACCTGAACCAAGGTGTGGAGCATATTGAGTTTAAGCTAATTATGAGCCATCTGGAACAGGGTTGGATAGGCAAGTTGGAAGTTGTTGCATGTTTAGGTAAGATGTAGGAAATTAGTATATAGGAATCAATTTAACTCAAGTATAGTTAATGATATCCACAGAGAATACAAGATATATAAAAAAGTGGGTTATCAAATAGAGATTCATTGAGTCATTCACATTAGGAGTAGAAAGAGGAAGAGGAGCCTATGGAAGGGAGACGAGAAAGAATTATTGAAATGGATTGTTCTTCAAAGAAGCCAAATGATGATGAGGAAGAGAGGCTCAAGGGGACATATGCTTAGTAGAATTGATTTTGTTTGTTCACTTTGGAAAGTGGAGCTGGGCATGGTGGAGTATGCCTGTGATCCCAGCAACTCAGGGGAGGCTGAGGTAGGAGGATGGTAAATTCCATGCCAGTCTTAGCAACTTAGCGAGGCCCCAAGCAATTTAGTGGGACCCTGTCTCAAAATAACAAAGGGTGGGGATGTGCCTCAGTGGTTAAACACCCTGGAGTTCAATCTCTGGTACAAAACCAAACCACACCCAAAAGCCCTTTTTGTCTCCCCCTGGGGAAGACAGGAAGCTTGAACATCAGGAGAAGTGTCCATGGTGAAGTCAAATGGGAATGCATGAAGCTACAGTGTGAAGAGGCAGGGTCTAGATTCAGAAAGCCTGGGAATTGGCTTCTTCACATGGCAAAGGGACAGGGATTGAGAAGCCAGGACTTCTGGGGCACAGACACAGGAAGTACTTTGTAAAATATAATTACCTTTCCATTATTACAGAAATAGAAAATATCCTTGCTGCAGGACAGTTTTTTTTTGACAGGCTAAGGTTATTAATTACTAAATAAAAACATAGACATGTCAGATAGATTATCAATAAGATGAAGTATCTTTTTTTTTCTTTCCAATCTATGAGATTGGCTATTTGGAAGACATCCCAGTTAATGCAGTATGACTGAGATATATAGAAAAATGAAACACCTTTTTCACATAATGAACTGGGGGGGGATGTTAATGATGAAAAGCAAACTTACAACTAGATTGAGGAGGACAAACTGCTCCGCCAATTTCTGGATATCTTTATTTTCAGCAAACACTTTCTTTAAAGCTACAATGTAAAACAACATAATTAAATAGTGTCAGCATGGGTTAAAACTCTTGTTTTCTGTTGTATTTTTAAATCAGTTGTGTTTTCTTGTTCTGCCAGGCTGGGATGGACCCAGGGCCTTGAACATGCCAGACAAGTTGCTCTACCACTGAGCTACACCCCAGTCCCCAAGTTGTGTTTCAAATGCAATACCTTGTCCTTTCAGTGAACGATTTGTGAAATAACACCCAACCATTGTCTCCCTTTGCTTTTTTTCCATTCACTCACCCATTTACCTTTTTTCAACACATATTTACCAACTGCCTACTATGTGGCAGGTATAGTTTTATGCTCTGGGGAAGATGCAATAAAGAGAAAAGCACATGCTTTTTCTGTAGAGAGAGGCTTGTGTGAGGGACAGACCAAAAACAAGTACATAAGCAAATATTTAGTAATTTCAGGTGGAGATGTGTACTTTGAAGAATAAGTGAGGCAAGGGGTTTAAGAGATAGGGCAGATCTCTCTGAGGAAATGACATTGAAGACAGGGTGGTTCATTATGGGGGTAGCGAGTTAAAATTTGTGGGGCAGATCACTCTTGGCAGAGGAAACTGCAAAAGCAATAGCCTCAATATGGGAGTGGGCTGAGAGGCTCAAGAAATAGCATAAAGTCCAGGCTAGACAGAGGACTCTGAGAGCAAGGGCGAATGGTGGGAAAGGAAAGGTAGCCTTTGGCTAGACTGGCCAGCACTAGGGGTTTCATTCTGCCTGTGAAGAGAAGCCATTTGAGCAAAAGAGTGACAGGATTTGCTTTGTATTCATGAGCCTCTCTCTGGTTTCTGTGTGGAGAACTGACAGTAGGGTGATGAGTTAGTGGCCTTTACAGCATTCTAGAGCAGATGTGATCTTGGCTTGGGCCTTGAAGCAATAAGAAGTACTTGGAGGGCTGGGGCTGTGGCTCAGTGGTAGAGTGCTCGCCTCCCATGTGTGAAGCCCTGGGTTCGATCCTCAGCACCACATAAAAATAAATAAAATAAAGGTATTGTGTCCATCTACAACTAAAATATATATATATATATATGAAAAAGAAGTGATTGGATTTGGTCAGGACCAGCTAGATAATGTATCCCAAGGGCAAAATGAAAATGCAAAACCCTTTGTTCAAGAATTATTCATAATTTTAAGACATTCRTAGCAGAGAACTAAATCAAATGTGGGAGCCTTCCAAGTTATGGGTCCTGGCACAGGTTGCATGTGGGTGAAGCTAGTGCTGGCAGAAGGATCTTTGAAAGTAAAGTCAACAGTATATGCTGATGTCTTGAATGTGGTACATAAGAGAAATCATGAAGTTGAGATGAATCTGAGAGCTTAATGTTCAGAATATGCATCAATGATGAACACAAAATGTGTAAATATTTGTTACTTTAAAACATGTTTTTACTACATAGTATATATACTTCTTTATATATACATACATATATTAATATATTTTATATAAAAATAAACATATAATATTATAAATATGTATATATTTATAAATATTATAAATATATATACGTACACATATGTATATATGTGTGTGTATAATTATTATTATTTTATTTTATTTTTAATAACTGGGGATGAAGCCAGGGCCTCACTCTTGTGCTAGGCAAATGTTCTAACATTGAGCTATATTCCCAGCCCCAGCCCTCTCTTATTTCTTTTTTTTTTTTTTTTAATTTTTTTAGTTGTTGATGGACCTTTAATCATTTATTTATTTGCGGTGCTGAGAATCGAACCCAGTGCCTCACATGTATGAGGCAAGCACTTTACCACTAAGCCACAACCCCAGCCCTCTTTTCTTATTTCTAATGATATAAAGATGAGTGATMAGGACCCTGGTTCTACCTAAAAGCTCATAAAGAAAATCATATTTAGAAGAATAAATACCTTGGCTGTGTGGGCATTCATCCAAGTGATGAATAATCATCAAGGGCTTGTTACTGTAAGAGACAAAGGGTGATTTTTGGTGGGTAGGATTTCATGTAGATCTAGGGTCACTAGATGGTGCTCTTGAGAGCCCAGAGAGGGCCCTGTGTAACCATTGTCTTTACCTCGTCTTGGATTTGTATAGAGCTTCTTCATATGTCTGAGTCCAGATGAGTAGATCACCCCAACCTAGAACAAAATAAACCGGCATATTTAAAAACACTGTAATTTCAGGCCAAAACCTACTGAGAAGCAATAGTGAAGACTGGAATAAATATATACTCAAAACAACCTTGAGRAAAAAAAAAAAAAAACCTTGAGAGAGTAGAAGTAATTATAAACTAGGATAAATCTAAAAGAAACAGAGTAAAATATATTCTGTGCATGCATTTCAGCACCAAGAGTTAGGAAGTCCTTCCCAATGAAGTAGGAGCTAAAAGCCAACAAGAGGCTGACTCCCACCTCTGGAGAGGGTCTGTGGCAGTTTGGGTTTAGAGTCCTTTGTGTCCTTTTTAGCTCCAGGTTTGACTGTGGTCTCTTTGGCCAGACTGTAGGAGAGGGCCACAAGGAGCAAGAACGCTGACATTGAAATTTTCTCCATGGCAAATCTATATGGAAAACAAACAAGAAGGAATTAGGACTCTTCAAGATTTATAGGTTATGTCACAGAATCTGTGTGTAGTGGAATAGAACAGAAACAGGCTCTTCTGAGACTGGACTCCTGAGATTGGAATAAAAGCTAACTTCCATGGGATTTTCATAAGAATAYACAGTATGTGATGGGCACCGTGGTGCATGCCTGTCATCCCAGTAGCTTGGGAGGCTGAGGCAAGAAGATTGCAAGTTCAAACTCAGCCTTAGCAATTTGGTGAGACCCTAAGCAACTCATCAAGAACCTACCTCTCTAAATAAAATATTTTTTTTTTTATTGTTGGTAGTTCAAAACATTACACAGTTCTTAATATATCATATTTCACAGTTTGATCTCTTCAGATCGTATAAATCTTTTGCCTTTTACTAAATAAARTATTTTAAAAAGGGCTGGGGATGTGGCTCAGTGGTTGAGCACCCCGAGTTCAATCTCTGGTACAAAAAAAAATAAAGAAATAAAAAAATACATTGTATGTTGGTCTCTGTCTCTTCCCCTATCTATCAATAGATATGATCCATAAGAGAAAGATATATAACTTAAGGAAGGAGATAACTAGTTAGATGTATAAAATTCCGCACCCCCCCCCCCACCCAAAGTGCTGGAGATTAAGCCCAGGGCTTCATGCATGCTAGGCTACCACTAAGCTACCACTAAGCTACATCCAGTCCTGTCTGTATATACTCTTGAAAAAAAGGTATAGACTAGAAGTTATTTTAAGCATTACTACTTCTTTCCCACTTCCCCAATGCCTCATGATATAGGTGAAGAATCCAAAGTTCAGAGAGATAACATTTGTGAGGTGGGTCGAGCACAAAAACTTCTGGATCTTTTCATTTTACAGGGCTGGCTTCTTCTCTCCTCCCTGAAACAATTACCCTAAACAGATTGGTTTCTTTAACTTTAAGTTAAAAATGGGTACATTGCCATTGAAGAATAAGCTATAAATAAAATGATCAATTCCTTATTTCATTTAGAACCTGCCAGCTTTGTCACTTAACTGAAGACTTGCACCCACACAACTCTCTCCCTGGTGTAATGTTTACTCAAACTCTGTAGTAGCTTTGAATTGACTGAGACAATCAAAGTCAAGTTCCTTCCAGTGAAACATTCTTTGTGTGGGTCTTTAGAGGTGGGTTGTTGTGGGCATATACTGTAGAGCAAAAAATATTCTGTGAGATTCATAACATGAAGAAATAAACCCCAGGGGTGTCTGTGAAATTTCTTTTTCCTTTCTGCCAGGCAGTCTTAGATGCCTGGGAACAGGAATGTGAATGGCAAGGTAAGTTCCATGAGTGCTGAGAGAAAGGGTGAGCTAGTGAGCATAGTGGTGGCGCCACAAGTCACTAAGGTTATCTTGGGGCCAGAGCATAGAAAGCCAGAGACTTGGGATTCTGGTAAAGCCAAACACTAATATTTCTTAAAAAGAAATAGGGAACCATGGCACCTAATACTGGGGTAGTTTTTTAATTAWGTCAGACTCTTCAAAGGAAGCAGGATGAATCATTGTTGCTTAGTGTTTGTAAGCYGGGAGTTTCAAACAATTTGATAGCTCAAGTGGCAATGTTTCACTAAGCATTAGATGATTAGAAAGAATGTTGCTGGGCCAGGGTTGTGGCTCAGTGGTAGATGCTTGCCTAGCATGCTCTAGGCCACTGGGTTTGACCCCAGGGCCACATTAAAAAAATAAACAAATAAAATAAAGGTATTGTGTCCATCTACAACTAAAAATAAAAAAAGGAATGTTGCTCAGTTACCAAATCCAAGAGATGTGATCTGTTAAACTAAACAAGTGTTAGTAGGTAGCCACATAATATCTTAGAAAAGACATAAGCAAAATTCAGGGATATAATTTTTTTTCTTTCATTAATTTATTTTTTCAATGCTTAGGATCAACTCTAGAGCCTTATGCATGCTAGGCAAGAACTCTGTGACTGAGCTATATTCCCAGTCCTTTTTACTTTGAGACAGAATTTTGCTAAGTTGCCCAGACTGGTCTTGAACTTGTGATTCTCTAGCCTCAGCCACCTGAGTAGCTGGGATTGCAGTATGCACCACCATGCCCAACTTAATTTCTTCATTTTTTTTATATTCATAAAGATGTAGAAATGCCAATAATAACTTTTGTCTTCTAAAGGTCTACAAAAATAACTCAAGTATAATATAAGTCAACAATACCCAGCCCTCTTAATATAAAAACTACTTTTTAAAATAAAAAAAGAACTTCCTTGTGAGAATCACTATACTTTTGAAATATTGGTCCAGAAAGGTAAACTACTTTGAATTTATCAACAGACATTTGATTTTGGATTTTATAATAGCATCTATGAATATTTGAAAAAATAATAGTAAATTGGGGGCAAAGCACTTCAGTCTGTTGACAATTCTCATATACCTAGTTCACAGGAGCCCTTGCAATAGTTCCACGGGTTATAGGTTGGAACTATTGGTAGATTACATGTGTTTTATGGCAGGATGACTGAMGGAAGGCTAATATAACTCCTGCTGTGCAAACATCCTGCTCTGGGTGATTTTCTCAGATTCACTCCACCGAGTTTTCATAACATGAAGAGACTCTGCTCCATATACTTTCTGCATAAGCTCCTCAAAACACAATGCTAACTTTGGAAGATTTTGATAATTTGGAAACACACATACACAGGAACATGAACACATACTGACACTTTGTGACACCACTTTTTACTGGTTGCTTCATCCTGGTCTTATCTTTAACAAAAAATGAAGTTGCAGGAGGTTTCAGAGTCCCTGTTATTATATATTATATCCAGCAAAGTAACTCACTTTCTTCTAACCACCAAGCCCATGAATTTTAAGATTGAAAACAAATAAATGAACAACAAGAAGAATGTCTTTACACCAGACCAAAAAAAAAAAAAAAAAAAAAGAAAGAAAAAAAGAAAGAAACTCTTTCTGATTTGTAATAATATATTCCACAGGGGCAATTTGAGCTAAATTTTCGCATTGGAGGAGCTTTTGGGTCTTGTCTTAGCCAGTGGGAAAGAAGCAGAGCATAGATAGTGACTGAATGGACATCCAAGGGCCCTGTCTCAAGCTTCAAAACTCCTATAATTCACCTGCTTTAAACCTCTTGTTTCTTAATGGAGAAATCACCACTTTGAACCTGCTCAGGAATGCAACACTACAGCTCTAGTCAAAGGTCCCAGTAAGCCTTTGGTGGAAATTTCATTTTTCCCTCTCCAAAYCTCACTTCAGGGCAACCCAGGAAACTTGCATTTCTCTGTCGGTTGATAGTCTGCAAAGTTACAGAGCAATCAAAGGCCAAAGCTCACTCTAACAAGAGCCGTTCCAAAGCTGTTGACAAGAGCCTTACCTGGTTTTCCCCACCCACCTGCCTTGTGAATCGGCTGGGATGTGTCCAGGCTTCTGAGTGTGCCAGCACAGTTCAGAGCCTCTATTTATGCACCCCAGCACACCTCAATCCCACCCACTAATCCTGCATTTACATGTTGCTTACTCGGAAGAAAACTCTCCTTTCCCCAAGCAATTGTCTTCCCTGGGTTAACGAGTTTCTTGTTTGTAACAACAACATTGCAAAAGGTATGCTTTTCAATATGCATGTTTTTAAACTATTTGTGAAAGTATATTGTTAAGAGTTTTGGAAAAGACAGGCAGAGTGCCAAATCCAGGTCAGCTTTAAATGAAGACATTTGATTTGCCTAAAGGCTGATTTGTCTTTGTGTGATTGGATGGTTTGTGGTTTAGAGAATTTTTTTTTTCCTCCACCTTAGGCAGATTGCCTTTATTTAGCTAAAAACACGAGAGATGATTCATAATTCTAACCCTGGCAGTCATACAACCTGCCATACTCCATTACCATACAAATTATTTTCCACAATACAGTTCCTTCCTCTGGTGTGTGTGAGTGTGTGGGGGGGCAGCACATTAACTACAGCATRAAAAATACAAATTAAGTACCAATTGAATATTTTAAAACTGAGAAAGTTATTGAAAAAGAAACATTTGACACTATGAACTTGTAAAAACTACATTACTGATGAGTGTATATAGCAACTTCACTCCAAAGACTGAATTCAAAGGTATTTCACAGATATTTTTCTATTTATGACAAACTTTCCTTGTAGGCATATAGGAAACTACTTACCTAATTTTTCAGACTAGAAACTATGCCTGCGACTTTATTTATTTTTACTTAAGATTATTCRATTACTCACTGAGGATTTTAAGACTGGAACTCAAATTTTCTTTCTTTTTTAAAAAACATTTATTTATTCTAATTAGGTATATATGACAGCAGAATRCACTTTGATTTATTGTACATATAAAATAGAGCATAACTTTTTATTTCTCTGATTCTACACAATGTAGTGTTGTACTGTATGGGCAGTCATCCATGTACTTAGAATAATGATATCCATCTCATTATTCCACCATCTTTCCTGCCCCCATACCCCCATCTTTCTCTCCCTCCCCTTTGCCCAATCAAATGGAACGMAAATTTTCTGTTAGAAAATTTTAATCCTTCCTGTGTTTTCTTCATGAAGTTAAATGTAATCCCTAAAAGCTCAGAGTGGAGAAATCTTTACCAGAAAATTAACTTATGAGATGCAAATTCTATAAAGTAACTTTTAAAATGAGTTATGATCATTATATTTTAAAACATTTTCAAGTACGTATCTTTTTCCTCAATTTTCTCAATTTCTGAATTCTGTAGGCTAAATTTCATTCCCAAATGATGAATTTTCTTTCAATTCTAAACAAGTGTACAGAGATAATTTCATTAKGAGTTTGACTGAAAGCAGTAATTTGAGCTAAACACAACTAGAATGGCTCTTATACAAACCCTTAATCTTTTAAGTCCTTAGAATGTTCAATTCAATTCCCCCTCATTTTGCAGGTGGAAAAAACCGAAAATATCAAAAAGTTAATAATCTTCCAAAGGTCTCACAACTAGTTTAGGGCAGAACTGGGGCCAAAGCACAGGCGTCTTCTAATCAGTCATATGCAGAAAGTGTATGGCATTTAGAGTCCACAGATTCCAGAATGTGAGCATTCTGTTGCTTGGTCACTGGATGACAGCACAATGTCATTTAACATCTCTGAAACTTTACTGTCCCTGTCTATCAAAGAGATGATACACAACTGTTCTGAACATCAAATGAGTTAAGAGAAAATATTTGACCTGTTTGGACTGCCATAACCAAATATCAYAGCCCAGAAGGCTTAAACAACAAAACTTTATTTTGTTACAATTCTAGAGACCAGAAGTCCAAGGTGAACGTGTCTGCAGGGTTAATTTTTTTTTTTTTTTTGAGGACTTTCTCCTTAGCTTGTGGATGTCCCAGTGTTCACCTGATCTTCTCTCTGTACCTGTCTCTGTCCTATTTCCTTTTCTTGTGAGAACACCATATTCGATTAGGATCCAGCATCCTGACCTATGAGTTCCTCTCRCTATATAGTCACATTCTGAGGTACTGGGGCTTAGGATTTYAATGTATAAATTTTKCGAAGACAAATTCAGCCACAGAACTGGATAATTAAAAACATTTCTGACTTGTGAGAACTAATAATTATTATATAATTATCCTATTGTACCCTGTGCCTAATCTCATTAGTGAAAAGCCAGTATGTGTCATAATGACTCAGGTACACCAAGGAGGAAGAATGTATCTCACACACACTATGGTGGCCGTGGCATCTTTGGCATATCTGTCTTCATGCTTAACAGCTAGGGTGTTTTTTTTTGGGGGGGGGGTGAGGGCAGGTGGGTACCAGGAATTTGTATTTGTGTCATCATACTTTTAAAGGTTTTTATTCAAGAACATCTCTAAAGTAATTTTCTATTTTTGAATGAATTCTGGACACTAATAATAACCAGCAGATATTGAGTAACCAGTATGCAGTGGACATTTGACTATATTGTTTCATTTATTTTCTAATTCATTTATTTCTTCACCATAATCAACAATTCTATGTAGCAAATACCATGACAGGCATTAAAAATACAAAGGTTAAAAAGATCTTGTCAGGTGGCTGGGTGTGGTGGTGCACACCTGTAATCCCAGTGGCTTGAGAGGCTGAGGCAGGAGAATGGCAAGTTCAAAGCCAACCTCAGCAACTTAKCGAGGCCCCAGCCAACTTAGAAAGATCCTGTCTCAAAATATAAAAAAGAGCTGGGGATGTGGCTCAGTGGTAAGGTCCCTGGATTCAATCCTGGTACCCCCCCCCCCCTCAAAACAGATATGGTCAGTTATTAAGGTATCTAAATGCTTACATAGATCATTGTAATTGAGGATTGTATGACACGCAAAGGGGAAAGCAGGCATATAGAAAGAAGTTTGATATTATCCTTGCCTCAGAGTTACTTAGAATATGACTGAGGAATTCAGACAGAATTGCACTAAAAATTATTTGCAGAATAGTATTCATTAAGGGACAAAAAGAGGTATAGACATCTGGTGTTAGTATTTTTCAGAGGAGGTAGATATTCCTATCACTTGAAGACTCAAGTTGGTGGTAGAATGCAAGATTACCAGGTGGAGACAGTGACACATAATTTGTGAAATACCTTTGTGGGACATTTCAGGGACCAGCCTAAATGGAGTGAGATCCGTCTGCATAGTTTGTAGACAATGGGTGCAAAGGTGTTTGGGGGCTATCTGTCTGGGGCATTTAATGTTATTCTGAGTTTAGACTTTACCCTCCAGAGAAAAAGTGTGGTAGGGAAGAGGGCAAGCTGTAAATTTAGATTGGTTTTAATTCAAATCTAGTTTTATAACTATTACAGGTTTTATTAACCTAAGAAGGTTACTTAATCCCTTTGCTTTGGTCATCCAACTTGTCAAGTGAGGATGGGAAGGTCTACAGTTTATAGGATCTGTTCAAGATGATATAATAAAGTGCTTAGAACATAGGTAGTACTCAAAAATAGTTGTTATTAGTACAGAATGTATCACTTGCTTCTCTGCATTATGATCATTGAGGTCTCAAACTATAATTGCATAATCTTTGATTACTCTTTGATAATAGACTTCACAAGGCTTAAGCTTTCAACACTTAATTTTGTCATTTGAAAAATTAAGTTGTCATAATAACCTCACCAGATTTCATTATTTTATTTAAAAAAATTAAATAAGCTCAGATGAGTAGATATAAGTAGCCCAAAGCCACAAAACTGGAGATTAAAGGACCTAAACTTTTCTCTAATTGCTGATAATCAATTCAATGTTCCTTTCCATCCATCAAGCTACCTTCTGAGTTTGATTATTTATTTATTTACTGATATTGGGGATTGAGCTAGGGCCCTTTCCCTGTGAGCTACACCTCAGATCTTTTTAATTTTTTATCGGGAGGCAGGGTCTCACAAATTTGCTGAGGGTGACACAGAACTTGGAATCCTCCTGCCTCAGCCTCCTGAGTCACTGAGATTTCAGGTGTGTACCACCATGCCCAGCCCATCAAGCTAGCTTCTGACCTCAGGAATTAATGAAAGAAACCTGTAAATGCATGCTAACTCCACAAAACCCACGAGTTTTATGCAGAGGGAAGAGCATATGATTCTTTTCAAGGGGTTTGCCTCAAAGGAGGCTGGTCAAAAACATATTTAATTGAAGACTAAATTTCYGAATAAATGAGTTCTCCCCACATTATAACTTAGGGGAAAATAGACTCATAAAAATTTGTCTTTTGGCATAAGGAAGAATTGGTTGCCCTTTGAGTTTTTCTTCTTAATGTCTGAGGAGGGTTTTTGTGCACAAAAACAACTGTTGTCAGCTTCCTGGGTTTTAACTGGTACTCAGTGTATCCAACATGAAACTTTAAAATGTATTCTTCTAGCTAGATGCAGTGACACATGCCTGTAATCCCAGCAGCTTGGGAAGCTGATACAGGAGGATTGCAAGTTCAAGGCCAGTCTCAGCAACTTGGTGAAGCCCTAAGGAGTTTAGCAAAACTCTGTCTCAAAATAAAAATCAAAAAGGGATGGGGATGGGGCTCAGTGGTTAAGCACCTCTGTGTTAAATCTCCAGTACAAAAAAAAAAAAAAAAGGTATTATTTCTAAATCTGCAAGTTTAAAATTTACAGAATATAATCTATTTATGAAAAAAGTAAATTGGTATAAAATTTAAAGCTACATTCGTTTTTTTAGAGATTAACTTGATTTCAATAGATTAAATTCACCTAAATTTACTAGAWTACATTTTAATGACCTATATTCAAGAGAAGAAAAAATAAATTAAAAAACTATATTAAAATTTATAAACATAATGAAATTCCTTTAAATATTTCAAAGTATATTTATGATTTTAATACTAGCATATCTAATTATCTTGAAACTTCTGAATGCACAACAGAGCAGTTTTGTAAACATAATTAGCAAAACTTTTCAAAACATTTTAGCAA